GATAATGCGTATAGCCCACGAAAAAAGCGGATCGATATAATTTCTGTTGGGCCTATGGACAAGCTGGACCTACGCGGAGAACCATACCCTACCCAAGCTCGGGAGTGTAAGTTCGGATTGATTTGTGCTGTTTGGGAGATAGAAACAGATGGAAGGCGCATCATCCATAAACGATGATAATGTCTATCCTGCAATTCGTCTGACCAGAACCAGGGAAAAAGCCAATTCGATAAAAGTAAACGTAATAGTGACCGTAGCGGTAGCAGATACTATAGTAAAGTTCTCGCCTAATTGTTGCTATCTATAGGCGTCAACTATGTATACTCCGTAGATAGTGCCGCCGCGGGGGCGAGAGGCGTGTGACCAGCAAGAATTTCCCCAAATCCCCACTACCATCCCTTCTTTTGTTTCCCCACGGCACTCTCTACTGTTGATTGACAGGAAACCTTACCCCCAGCTGTCTTATCCCAGGACCGGCAATAGTTTATTTTCCAAGGTTCTCTCCACCAAGCCACCAACTTACTACCGTCCTCCGTCCCTTCCGTCCCCTCTCATTCCGATTGAACTCCGGCATATCGCTGACGTGGCCTCGATTGCACAATACCTGCCCTTGCAACTGTGACTTATCTTCTCAGTCCCGACTGCAATTAACATCAAGACTTGAGACAGATGCAACATACAAGAGCGTTTAGCATTTATCGCACTGTCATATACCCCACCCTAATTCACGGCTGCTGTTCAGATGATGAGATGCATGTTACATGCTAGAATCTTCCATGTGCATAGTTACTTTTACTTTACCCCGGTCAGTCCAGACCGGTCGGCGTCTCTCCGATCGTCAGGTACGGTAGCTGGGATATGCTAGTCTGCCCAAGATTGCTGGGGAAAGCCGGATTTGGTGCTGTCACATGGTCGTTGAAGCCGGGTTGCTGATTTCCAGAAGATAACAAGTACTCACTTGGTAGACACAGCACTCGTGGCTCGTCATATAGCTTTTGGACACAAGGTAGCTCAGATTTGTCCTACTGGAAGGATGGCTATCATGTTGCGTCAACTGACTGATTTGGTACCTTGAAACATGATTTGAAATGAAAGCTACGAGAGTGTCATTTTTACTACAGGATTCTGATACTAAATATCCTAGGTATTGACTGGAATGGCCCCGGGGTATCGTTCACCAGCTGGAGTGAATTTGGCCAATATCTCATCAATCTCTTGCATCTCTTCATCCGTGATCTCGATCTGCTTACTGTTCTCCTCCACCCGCCCCGCAGTTGTGGCACCTGGAATAGGAATAATGGTTGGTACCCCTGGGCGCCTAGAGAGTGCTCTTGTCCAGTTGATAGCCAGCTGCGCTGGGGTACAACCCTTCCTCTGAGCGATATCTTCCACTTTCTGTACCAGCTGCATGTTCCTCTCGAAGTTCTCCCGCTGAAATCGCGGAAAGTCGAAAGAGCGCAACAGCGAATCTTGCGGAAGATCATCGAACTTCTTGAACTGACCAGTCAACATGCCTCTGCCGATCGGCGAGTAGGCAATAATTGGGATCCCGTATTGGGCACACGCCGCTGCGACGCCGTTTTCCAGTATATCAGTAGTGAACCTATTCCAGTCAGCATTAACCCTCCATTGCTTCTGCAACAAATCCTATACATACAAAGAAAGCTCAGCCTCCACCGCAAGTACCTTGGTATACTTGACAGCTTCATGGATCGTCTCAGCCCGCACCTCCGACAAGGCAATCCCCTCGATCTTGCCAGTCCGAACATATTCCTTCTCGATAAGAGCAAACGTCTCCTGCATAGGCACAGCCGGGTCTCGACGGGCAAATTCGAACATATCAATCTTCTTGCGACCTTTCAGCTGCGCTATGCAGTTATCTAGACTGCGGCGCGTATTCTCCGCCGAAGCATCTATCTGGTGAGTCTCCGGGTTGACGCCGCCCTTGATATTCAGAACTATTTTGTCGGCATCTTCGGGGTACTTCTCCAGATATTGCTCTACTAGGACGAGACTGTTGTAGTCAAGTGCGCCGTAGTTTTCGCCGCCATTCCAACAGGTACCTATAGGTTAATGATCAGTGTTGGTTCACATAGCTGTCTACTAGCAAAAGAAAACCAGAGGAATGCTACACACATACACCCATTTTGAATTGCCGCATGCATAGCATCAAACGCCTGCTCTTGGGATGGTGGTGTCGCTCTCCAAGTTAACCCCATAAGACCGAAGCCAATGGGTCCGACTTCCTTTCCGGCAATCTGGGGCATGTTGACTCTCTCGATGGTGTGGTCGGTGATAGGATAGCAGAGCTTTATATGGAGTGATAATCCTTCTTTGCTTTTTAGTACCTCGTGGAAAGACCTCGCCGTAGGCTTTTATAAGGTGAAATACCCTGGCCACCTATCCGGTCTTAGACATAACTCCGGCAGTTAATTCCGTTTGCTTACCTCTTCATCGGCGATGTTTGGGCGATCGTCGTAAGCGGTCGCCTTTAGCTATTAGCTATTAGCTATGATATCCATCCTGATTCTTAAATAGGCAAGATAAATTGACCCTGCTTTATGGTTTAGTTTAACGCAGGGTAAGTTGTGTAATCTTTCTATAGGGAGAGCCAACATCCACAATCGCCTCTTCAGCGTTGCGTTTTCCACATTACGAGCGGAATATCCCAAGTTTCTCTTCTAATAGCAATGAGGAAAAGTGTGAATTCGCTATCTGATCTACGCTACGAAAAATCAGTGGAATATCGACTTGGATCTAAGAAAAATGATACTCAAGAAAGCAAACAGAGCTCTGGCCATCATTGGAATTGAGCTTCGTGGGCTTTATTTATTACACATTAGAATAGGAGAAGGTCCAGCTTTTCTTTCTATGTCAGTCTTGGGGTAGATAAGAAATAACGGAAGTGGGTTCTGTTCTCTGTCGTTAGTTGAAGGCTACATGCAGTGGTTGGATGTACAATGTGGTAACTATCACGAAAGAAGCGATAAAATACACTAATTCATTTGAGTCATGATCCTTTACTATGGAGCACGAGGCTGTGCATATCCTACTGCTAAGCCAGGATCAGCCCACCTGCAGCCTTGCTTACAGGCAACAGTGGGGCCCGGGATAGGTGACGCATCTCACGAGCCTCATTCTGCAAGTCCATCCTATGTAAGTCTCTTTACTGCTCGCATTGAAGATAAAAACAAGAAGAAACTGATGAAGAGCCATTACATATAAAGAGCATTCTGTACCTCAAGACCAACCATGCAGCGAATCCCCTCTACATTCCTCACCTCCCCACCGCCCCCAAACGCCCGATGCCATCGCATCAACTTCGAAACCTCTCAACCACCACTCCCAGAATACAAGAACCTCTGCGCAGCAGTAATAGACAACGCATTCAGCGAAGAAGAATGCGCCGAACTAATCCGCATTGCGGAGTCCAGCACAATCCCTCCCGGTGACTCTTCTGCCACACCTACCTGGGAACGCGCCATGATCAACATCGGAAATGGCAGGCAAGCGCTCGCAACAGATACCCGGAATTGTGGGCGCATTATCTATGATTCCGAGGAGATAGCAGATAAGCTGCTGGCTCGGTTACTGCCGTTCTTCAAGGAGCTGGGGATTGACAAGATTGATGATCAACCTCGGGTGACGGGCCTTGCGGGCCGGAATAAGGCTTATGGAATGACTCGGTTGAATGAGCGGTTGAGGTTCCTTAAGTATGAAGGGGGAGAGTACTTTAGGCCGCATTGGGATGGGCTATATAAGACGCCTGATGGGAAGGAGAAGTCGTATTATACTATTCAGCTGTATTTGAATGGGCATGGAGAGCAGGATCTTGGAGAGCTGAAGAGGGAAATGAAGAGGGTTGAGCGGGGAGAGGGAGAGGTGAATCTTGATGTGAAGGGGGAGCTGCTGGGTGGAGCGACGTCTTTTCTACCCAGATATGAGGAGAAGGAGAGACATTTGCGTGTCTTTCCGAAGACGGGCTCGGTGTTGGTGTTTCAGCAGATGGATCTGCTTCATGGTGGGGATCCGGTTCTGAGGGGGACGAAGTATACGATGCGGACGGATGTGATGTATCAGCAGTTGTGATGGTTGTATAGCCAGCCAATTAGAAACGAAAAGACAGTTTATTTCTGTAATTCAATGTTTGTGTATAGCTATTATCTGGCTGACATGAGAGATCTATCGACGTAAGCTGACGTTGTTTCCGGTGCAGATACTCTCCAGTTGCATAATTACCCTGCTCACCCAAAGTTAATTGCATTAGACTGGAGGTTGGACACGAGCAAACAGCAGAGCTGACTGCAATAATCACTGCAATACGAAGCTGACTTGATGGGAGCGATCTTTGGTTCCGTGGATTCCATCCGTCAGCTCCGGACCCACTGATCGCTGTGACATCAGGGTCTTTTCGTGGATGCATACTAGGACCCTTGCAGAGTCTCTTACTGTGTATAGTCGAGGAGCTACAAACAGTGTACTGAAAGCGAACCGCCTCACTCAGAATTGGGGAGTACAATGTGGGAGGTTTTTAGAATCCAGCAGTGTCTCCAAGATCGATCCTGTGTGAACCATTGTCCATGTTTGGTTTGCCAACTTTGATTCTCGTTAGTAGTCTCCGATCAGCCACTGCGATGACTGTCACTTCAGCTGCGGAATTGCCGGCTTAATCCAGCCTCCACATGTAGGTAGTAGTGTCCCAAACCATGGACTGCAATTCAATGCCATCTCCGCTGCAACCCTCCAATCATCAGTCGAAGATCCATGGTTCTTCGGTCACTATGATCATCCCCAAGACTTCGGTACCATTCTGGTGCTTGGCGAGTATTGATATTTCGTCTACCAACCAAGACCTTGGCTGCGCGGCAGCCTTGGTCGGGTTGGAAATCTGATGTGGTAGTCCTTGCTTGCTGTGAAGACGTCGTCGGAGAGGGCTGCTCTTCACCATTCCCACCCATTGGCTTCTTCTAAGAAACAGCAGCCGTTTGGTACTTGCTCATATGCAGTGCATAGCAGCTTTGCTTGCTCTTGCAAGCATATTCACAGGTCTGTTATTGTCATTCTCGGTCTCAATTTTATCACTGCACCACTTCCCGCAACTTCCGGGATGGTCTAACCGTAGAATTGCATAGGCATAAATGCTAGCTTCAATCATGACTACGGAAATCACTTGATGCAAGAGCGCGCGCTACCAAATGCACCAGATGGGTATACACCAACTACGGTCGAATGCGCTGCGAGTCGTCCCACGGTGCGCAGTGCGACAGCACTCTCGTCGAACGAATCGTCATGGCTGAGGACTCGAAGGAACAATACACTGTCGGCCATGAGAGAATTCTTCGGCCATGTCAATATTACGGACTTTGACGCTGTGGGGTACATCGACGGCATCTCGAGCAACACCTCCAATCTGCCTAACATTGGCGTCGCTGTCTCTGGTGGAGGGTACCGGGCTCTGATGAACGGTGCTGGGGCAATCAAGGCTTTTGATAACCGTACAGAAAATTCCACCAGCAGTGGCCAGCTGGGTGGGTTGCTGCAATCAGCAACGTACTTGGCTGGCCTCAGTGGTGGGGCGTGGTTAGTGGGATCTATATATTTGAACAATTTCTCCACCATCTCGTCGCTCCAGACCTACGATGATGGGGATGTCTGGCAATTCCAGAACTCGATCTTTGAAGGTCCCGACGGGGATAGCATCCAGATTATTGATACGGCGACCTACTACAGAGATATATATGACGCAGTGTCTGGAAAGGATGATGCAGGTTGGGAGACATCCATTACTGATTACTGGTATGAGCCTTGCCCAACTTTCGCTCAGCAGCAATACTGATGTCCACCAGGGGCCGCGCTCTTTCATACCAGCTCGTCAACGCCACTGCCGGAGGAATCAATTACACCTGGTCATCCATAGCCCTGACCAACTCCTTCAGAAATGCAGAAATGCCAATGCCCATACTAGTTGCAGATGGCCGGTACCCAGGCGAGCTCCTAGTCAGCAGCAATGCCACAGTCTACGAATTCAATCCCTGGGAATTCGGCACCTTCGACCCAACGGTCTACGGCTTCGTCCCAGTCCAGTACCTGGGCTCACGCTTCGTAGCCGGATCCCTTCCAAGCAACGAGAGCTGCGTCCGCGGGTTCGACAATGGCGGATTCATCATGGGAACCTCATCCACTCTATTCAACCAATTCCTCCTTCAAATCAACACAACCAGCCTCCCCAGCTTCCTAAAAGACGTATTTACAAAAATCTTAGAAGATCTCGGCGAAGACAGTCAAGACATAGCAGTTTACACCCCCAACCCCTTCTACCTATGGGCCAATTCCACCTCGCCATCCGCAAGCGAGACAGTCCTCGACCTCGTGGACGGCGGTGAGGACCTCCAAAACATCCCCTTACATCCACTCATCCAACCAGAGCGCCACGTGGATGTCATCTTCGCGGTAGACTCCTCGGCAGACACACAGTATAACTGGCCCAACGGCACCGCTCTAGTCGCTACCTACGAGCGCAGCCTAAACACCACCGGCATCGGCAATGGAACGTCTTTCCCTGTTATTCCCGACCAGAATACATTCGTCAATGAGGGGCTCAACACGCGCCCGACGTTTTTCGGGTGCAACTCGTCGAATACCACTGGTCCGGCGCCGTTGGTTGTGTACCTCCCTAACTTCCCGTACGTGACATTTTCAAACGTGTCGACGTTCGATCCGAGTTACTCGGAGGCGCAGAGGGATAGTATCATCTTCAATGGGTACGATGTAGCCACGATGGGGAATAATAGTCGCGATGGGGAATGGTCTGCTTGTGTTGCGTGTGCTGTTCTAAGTCGGTCGTTTGAACGGACTAACACTACGGTGCCGGATCAGTGTAACCGGTGCTTTGACAGGTATTGCTGGGATGGCACTACGAATAGCTCGAATCCGGGTACTTATGAGCCCAGTACGGTGTTCGATAATGTTGCGTACGCTGTATTGCCTGCTGTTTTTGCGACTGTGGCGGCTGCTGCGACTGTTTCGGCGTTTATGTAGGACATTTTTTCGCTGTACAATGTGTGTGTATGGTATGGTGTATATTTAGTAGTGGGAGTGACGCGCACAGAAAAGTCAATGCACGGTAGCTTCAATTATACGCGAAGTATATATTTCATAAATTCAAGGCATTCCATGAAATGAAGGAGTGATTGACGTGCTCGACTCCGGAAGAGGCAGCCCACGTTTCTCACGTGTCGCGTTACCAGGGGAACCACCGCCCGATCGCCCAAACAAGCAAGCGGCCACAAACGGCAGGAGCGTCGTCCACTTGGGCGACTTTGATGATCGGCCTCCTCCACTGCTAGCTAGTCAACAACCCACGCCAACTCGACCACCACACAAGCCCCCTGCTTACTTTAACCCTGCAGAAGAGCTTCCGGGGTTAAAGTAAGTGATTGTTCACTTATCGCCAGTGGACGCACAATGAGCACGGCAATTCAATACTAAATCCCCACCGCCACCGACAGATCATAACAGAAGCGGGACATCAACAACACCCACCTCCGACCTCCCGCGCGGTTGTATTTACCGACCCCGAATATCAATCAACACACAATGGCTCGCGCAGCAGTCATCCCACAGTCGCCGCCCAAGCGGACGACGCGCACACGAACTAAGGGATCGACGACCACTACATCTGCTAAAGCTGCGCCCAAAACGACAAAAGCCAGGGCACCTAGCTCTGCCACCGAAGCGAGGAAAAGAGGCGGCCGGACAACAGCAACAGCAAGCAGACCAGCGGACGAAGATGCAGAGGAGTCGACAGACGATGAGATTGGCATGTTCTCTGAAAGGAAAACAACGACGGTAGCGAAACCTAAAGGCCGACCTACGACTAAACCCACAACTACCACAACTAGTCGTGGTAGGAAGGCCACGCCCACAACAAACGCGGATTCGGGCAGCGACAACGATGACGAGCTTGCTCAGTCGGACGCTCCAAAGAAGCGCGCTGGGAGACCGAGGACCAAGCCTGCGACGCCCGCAAAGACCGAAACCGTCCCAAAGACGCGAGGACGGCCGAAGGGTTCTACAGCAACAAAGTCGGCCAAGCCAGTCGATCCTGTGAAGGAAAACACGCGACTGAATGCGAAAGGTTTCACCGATATCGATTTCTCTTCCTCGCAGGAAGCGCCCAAACGTGTGTATATTGCGACGAACTCTACGACAGCGAGATCGAATATGCTGCGTGGACCGGCGAAGAAGAAGAAGGTTACATTCCAGGATCCGTCCGAAACTGCAGAAGAAGACATGAGCGAGCCATCTCCCCCGCCGGCTGCTGGAAGGCGACGAGGGACGATTGGGCCTGGACGTCAGGCAGGTCTTGCGTCCAAGCCGGTTCGCAAACCTGCAGCGACCTCCGCTAAGGGCCGGAAGCCGGCGACGGCCAAGAAGGAGGGTCCTAAACCTCTTTCGCCGAAGAAGGCAACGCAGGTCGCCAAAGCGCTTTCGTCGTACGCCGACTCGGATGGAGAGGACGATGAGCTGAGCGGCGATAAAGATCAGGTCAAGTTTGTTGTCAACTCACCCCCCAAACACGGATCAGAAAATACCGGCCTTAGTTCACCAGTGAAGAGAATCAATATCACTGGAAAGTTCCGGAAATCTCTCGACGAGAATGGCGAGCCTCTGCCTGGTCCTAGACGATCGATCGACTTCAATGATACACTCCTTATGTCCAGCCCTGCTCGTCGACCACCCCCCTCACCTTTCAACTTCTCAATGAGAGAAACACCCAAGCGTGGAGCGTTCGCTCCACGCGATGATCACAAGTCGTTATCACAACCCCATCTCTCCCCAACACACAACTCACCGCTCAAATTGTCGCCCAGGAAGGCACACTTGGAGACTCCGAAGCGAGGAAGCGTCTTTTTGGACAGTGGCAAGCCGTTGTCGCAACCCAACTTTACCCCAGGGCACAATTCCCCTCTCAAGGCGTCACCCAGAAGGGGCCTATTCGGGGCGTCGTTCACGTCACAGGCCCACGCCGAATCCACGTCGACCCCATTGAGACACAGTGTATCTTTCCTTCAAAGCCCGGCAAAAAGGATTGCGTCGCCATTCAAAAGCTCGTTGTTTGCAAGCAGAAGCCCCATAACCGAGGATGTCCAGGTTGACATCAGTGATGTGGAAGAACCTACTACCCCTGACGTCGATGAATCGCCGCTTAGAATGACCGAATTTCAGGAAGTCAGGGATGCTGAAAGTGAAGACGAGCAGGTTGATGACGATTTCCCTGAGGGAGTCAAAGATAACGATGCGACCAAGGAAATCGATACGAAATCCCCAGCCGCTGCAGAAGAGTCCGACGAAGATACTCTGCACAAAGAGTTTGATCGGGAGCAGACCATAGAGTATGAAGAGGAATACACGGGAAATGCGGCTGAGGATGTCACGACGCATGAGGAGCATATTGAAAGTGACGTTCGCAATGACCAGCAGTCTGAAGAGCCTGCTCACGAGTTGGTCGAGGCCACTGAGGAGTCTATGGAGGAGTCTGAAGAAGACTTCAAGGACGATGCCATGGAGGAACCTGCTGGTGAGCTAGTCGGGTCTACAGAGGAGCCCATTAAGGAGCCCGAAAACGAGCATATGGAGGAGCCTATGGAAGAATACACGGAGGAGATGGCCGAAGAATCTGTTAGTGATCCGACCGAGCATATCGATGAGCCTGTGGAGGAACCCATGGAAGAAGTCGCCGATGAGTCAGTGGAGCCACCCATGGTGGAGACCGAGGAGTCTGTCGAAGCAGGAGTGACTGAGCCTGCCGAGGAATCCTCTGAACCTCCCATCAAAGAGCTCGTTACCGAGCCTGACGCTGAACTTGTCAGGGAACCGGAAGCTGAGCAGACCTACCCAACGGTTGAAGGTGAAGAGACTGGCGAGATGAGTAACGAGCATGAAGCTCAGGAGAACGCCACCGAGTACGCTGAAGATAGTCCAGAGCTCGATGCTGAGGTTTCCGTCCCCGACACTAGAGAGGACACCGTGGAAATGGAAGATATTTCCGTTTCCCTGCCCAAGGACTTTAGCCCGTCAAACCGCAGTGAGACGCGCGAGTCTATCGTTGAAGAAGAGCCTTCAGCCGGGTACGACCAAGGGGGTGTTGAGCAACCCGAGCATGAGGCAGAAGAGCGCACTGAGACAACGGACTCGGCAACTGAAACTGCTCCAGGCCCAGCCAACACAGGACTAAGAAGCAGCTTGGTTGAAGGCCTTGAGGATGTCTTCGTCGAACGCGCAGCACCCCCTGAGCCTGTCAATGATGACCGTGATGGCTCGGAGACGGAGGACGACCCGGATATGCTGGAGGCGGCCGACGAAGAGAATGCTGCAGATGCTTTTGACGACTTTGACGACGTGGACGACCAGTACACATTCGATGACAGCGAACCAACGCTCGTGGGGTTCGAACCGACCGAGCGGATCCCACCTAACCTCGTTCCCATTCAGCCATACGAAGTCGAAGAAGCGGAAGATCCTTTCAGCCCTTCGCGTCAGGCTCAGAACGCCTCCAGGCGTGTTCTTTCGCCCGTTCGTATCCTTGAAAGCCCTATCAGGCGAAGCCCTATCAGGCGAAGCCCTATCAGGCGCAGCGCGAGGAATGCTCCTACACCTGCAGCAGCCATGGACAATGGGACGCAAAACAATGCCGACCTCTCGGACCCATTCGTTGAGCACAGTCGTGCAACACCTCGTCGTAGATCTACTCGAGGACTACTTTTCGATAACGCCCCTCGTTTCACACCACTGGCGCAACAGTTTAGACAGTGGAAATCTAACAGCCCTGAGAAGGCGCAGGCGACGCGACCACGGAGGGGAATCTTCTCTTTGGGAGGCCGCAGGAGGTCTAGCAACGTTACTAGTACTTCTGAGGTTTTATATCCTGATGTATCCAGGCAGGCAGAAGCTTCATCGTCTAAGCCGCAAACTTCGCAGCAAGAGCGGGAAGATGTCGATGTGCCTGAGGTTGCTGGAATTGAAGAGCAGGAGCCTGAAGAAAATGCCGAGCCAGCCCACGAGGAGACTCCAATGCCTGTTTCGCCTGCTGCGCAGGAACAGAGTGAGGATGTCGACGTCCCGGAGAACGATGAGGATCAGGAGCAGGAAGCGGAACCGATCGCTGAGGAGCCAAATCAACCTTCATCAGCTGAGTTGCCAACTCCGCAAGAAGACTTGAATGATGTTGATATGTCTCTACCTGAAGAGCAAGATCAGGATCCGGAACCAGTTGATGAGGAGCCAAGCCCGGAGAAGGCTTCATTACCCAACTCGCCTATTCTGGAGGAAGACAGTAATGATGCCGATATGCCTGCTATACATGAAGACGAGCCGTCACAGCCCATTGGCGACATGCCCAGCCAAATGGAGGCTTTGCCGGCTGAACCTGACACTTTGCAGGAAACTGACAAGTCTGCTGATATTCCCGAAATTTACGAAGACGAAGATTCTGGTTCTCAGCAAGCTGGCGATACTGAGACCTTCGAGGAGCCGTTGGAGCAGTCCGCAGAGGTAGTTGAGAGCAGCCAGGAGGCTGTGGCCGACGCAAGCGAGGATAAGGAGAACATGTACGCAGTGCCGTCCGTGCCTGACAGTCTCGCTTCTGAGTCGCAGCCAGACAAGGAAAGAGAGCTCGGGGATATTCCCATTCTCGCACCTTCTACTCCGATGAAAAACAGGATTCCTGAGATGCAGACTGTACACACGGTATCTAAAGTTCCACTCAAGCCCGAAGGCCAGATATCGCCGTTGAAAATGTCGCGCAAGCGTGGTCTTTCGCTCTCCGCCTCTTCCCCAGGGCGCTCCTCGAGACCCCGCATGTCGGCAATTGCACCCGTCGCGCGAAATGTTCCCCAGCTCTCACCTCGCAAATCGCCCCGGCTACAAAGAACCGCTTCGCGCCAGTCACTCGGCCAATCGCATACTCCTGATACAGCGAGAAAACCCAATGAGGCTCAAAGACCTGCACCGCCCAAGCGGCCCTCGTACTCTCCCAGCCCTAAGAAGAAGACGAAAACGCCTCGCACGAGCATCAGTGCTCCCAAGCTGGCTCTACAGGGCTCTGTTGTATATGTGGATGTGCACACAACCGAGGGAGAGGATGCTAGTGGCATCTTTATTGAGCTTCTGCAGCAAATGGGAGCCCGATGCGTGAAGAACTGGTCGTGGAACCCTCGCGCCAGTGTTTCTCCAGAGGAAGGAACAGAGCCCAAGGAGGGCAAGGTGGGAATCACCCATGTCGTTTACAAGGATGGAGGTGTCCGAACTTTGGAGAAGGTCCGACATGCCAGAGGCCTTGTCAAATGTGTCGGAGTCGGCTGGGTCCTTGAGTAAGTTATTCACTTGTCTGCCATGGATGCAGGTACTAACGTTGCACAGCTGCGAACGTGAGAACAAATGGCTCGATGAGGCACACTACGAAGTCGACCTGTCTATTATCCCCCGTGGTGGTGCTAAGCGTCGCAAGAGCATGGAACCACGCGCTTTGAGCAACGTCAATGGCACTCTTGTCAAGACCGACGCGGCGAGTGCATCTGCAAACCGCAGACGATCTAGCCTTGCCCCTCCCAAAGAATCCATCCCCAGAGATGCGACACCCTCTTCGCGTGATGAGCCATCTACCCCCGACGCCACTCCTAAGATTGGCGCCGGTCACACGGAAGCAGACCAGCAGTACTGCCACACGCCCAAGACTCCGGGCTACACTCTTGACATGGATGCCATTGGCATGTCGCCAGCCACACCATTCTACCTGTCACAGCGGACGAAGCTCGTGCAGCAGACCTGTCCTCCGAAGCAGACCCGCCAAGGTCTCTTTACCACGCCGGCTGCGGCACGCGAGCCGAACCAGAAGCTGCGGGCCAAATTGGAGGCAGCTAGACGAAAGAGTATGGCGTATAAGCCGCGAGTGGGGAGTCCCCTTGTTGAGTAGATTTTGGTTGATTTTGTTTCGCACCGGATTGGCTTGGTTTTTGCTCGATTCCGGTTACTGGATATCTGTTTATGGTTATGGTTATACTACATACCCCTTTGTTGTCTAGTGGCGTATGGTTGGATTATAGTAATTGGAATTCATTTCATCTATATCTACTTACGTGTATGTTTCAGCTTTGAAGCAAAGTAATCTTGATGATTTACGATGGAGGCATATTCGATATTGATTCGTATTCATCATCATTACAATCAGACATGATTTGTCGATGCGAGACCAGCTCAGCACTCAACCTACCGCACTCGTATACTCACAGACCCGGATCAACAGAGACAAAGGCTCTCATGGCGTCCACCACATTCCCACCATGCAATCTTAACAACTCGGTCGCAGTGCTCTTATTCAATTCCAACTCCTCGACCTTGTCCACCATCGCCATTAGCCTCCACCCAAACCGTTCTCCTAGGTATTGACATACCAAAAGATTCACATCCTCCACCGCCACCTTAACCGCCTTCTTCTTAGCCCCTTCCACCGGAACCCTCTTCTGGGCTTCAACCGGCTTCTGCACGCCACCACGACCAGCACCACCAGTTTGTCCCGAGGCGATCTCCAAGCGACTCATTGCCTGACCCAGAGCTTCCTGGTCAGCAGCGGAGGGAGTGGAGGAGGACTTGGGGGTGTCGGGGGCGATGTGGCTGGGGTTGAGGGCGGAAAGGGCAGCGGCGGCTTTGCGGTCTTCAGCGTTGGTGGGGTGTTGGTGTTGATGATGTTCATCGGGGTGGGCGGAGGGGATGGAGTCGGACATGGTGGATTGATGATACTGATTGATGATTTAAATGATTTGATTGATGCAGGATAGATGGGTTTGGAATTGGACTGTCAGACGTTAGTCAGGTCAGGGGCAAACAATGAAGATAAAACCAACTAGCTAAGTTAGTTAATGATGGTAGAGATAAGTAGTAGTATTGAGAACACATGACGTCGGAGTTCAATAATAAAATGGCATGGCAAGGAGAGCAAATTGCCTGTCTGGGTTAGCGGGACAGGCGTGACTCAAAAGAGTCCAAATCCGCGAATAACCGATTTTCTTTTTTTTGACTGCATTGAAAGTTAATTTAATTGAAAGTGTAACGTGTTTGTTGTTCTTTGCTTTTCTTTTTATTCTTCAGCTTGATTGCTTCTTCTTCTTCGTCGTCTCCCTCTACTTCCATCTCTTTTTTTCCTTTCCTCCGTTGCAGTCTTCATTCTTTCAATTCCAAAGAGCGGTGGGGAATCAACATCCACTCTTGACAGCGCCCTAGCGTCGATCAGTCACTAATCACTACTCGCTGCCTCCACCGACTCTGTCACAATGGCGGAGTCAGAATGGTCTCCTAGCTGTGTGTATACCCATCTATCTTTCTTCTTATGAGGAAGGAAAAGTAATGCGATGACTGATTCCCCATTAGCCTGGGCCTCGAAACCCATCAAGCAGGATGTCATATATGACGATGCGGCGGGCGTACAAGCCGCACTGGCGAAGCTGCAGAAACTCCCGCCGTTGGTCACGACTCAAGAGGTGCGATCTATCGCTTTGTTGAGAACTGAACAGACAAGCTGATATATTTGTAGGTGAATGATTTGAAGAAGAGCTTGAAGAATGTTGCATTGGGAAAGGCATTCGTACTCCAGGGTGGTGAGTACACGGATTTAGATTCCGCATTACGGCCGGTATTGATACTGTGCAAGGCGACTGCGCGGAGCTGTTCGATTACTGCAATATGGATATGATTGAAGCCAAGGTGAAGCTGCTTCTTCAGATGAGTTTGGTTCTAATCTGGGGTATGTCTCTTACTATTACTATGATATAACGAACCTTGCTAATATCACCTAGGAGCAAACAAGCCCGTCGTCCGTATCGCCCGAATTGCAGGCCAATTCGCCAAGTAAGTCTTCACTCTTTACATAAACAACAACACCCACTAACGACAAACAGACCCCGCTCCAGCCCAATGGAAACCATCGACGGCGTCGAAATGCCCTCCTTCCGCGGCGACAACATCAACGGCTTCGACGCCACCCCCGAGTCCCGCAAACCAGACCCCTCCCGGCTGGTCTCAGCCTACTTCCACTCCGCCGCGACACTCAACTACATGCGTGCCTCCCTCTCCTCAGGTCTCGCCGACCTGCACTCCCCTCTAGACTGGGGTCTCGGGCACGTCATCACCCCCTCCATCCGGGAGAAATACACCAAAATCGTCAACCGCGTCAAAGACGCCCTACGATTCATGCAAACCGTCGGCATCGACACCGACCGCGGCGTCGAGACCGTCGACATCTACACCAGTCACGAAGGCCTCCTCCTCGAATACGAACAAAGCCTCCTCCGACACCTCAAGAACCCCGACCCTCCCACCACCTCCACACAGCCCCCCAAATCCTACTACGCCACCTCCTCCCACTTCCTCTGGATCGGCGACCGCACCCGCCAAATCAACGGCGCACACGTCGAATTCTTCCGAGGCATCGCCAACCCTATCGGCATCAAAATCGGCCCTAGCATGACTCCCGCCGAACTCACCTCCCTCCTGGACATCGTCAACCCGGCCCGCGAAATCGGCAAAGTCACCCTCATCTCGCGCTACGGCGCAGCAAAGATTTCACAATACCTCCCCGCCCATATCGCCGCCGTACAAGCCTCGGGACACATCCCCGTCTGGCAATGCGATCCCATGCACGGCAACACGCAGGCCACACCGTCCGGGGTGAAGACGCGGCATTTCAGTGACATTCTCTCTGAGTTGAAGCAAGCATTGGAGATACATCGCGCGGCGGGATCATTCTTGGGTGGAATGCATCTGGAGCTGACGGGCGAGGCAGTGACGGAGTGTGTGGGTGGTGCTGGAGGGTTGACAGAGGAGGGATTGAGTGAGCGGTACACGACATTCTGTGATCCCCGGTTGAATGAGAAGCAAGCATTGGAGTTGGCGTTCCTGGTGGCGGGGTTTTATAGGGAGTTGGATGAGGAGTTGGCGGAGGATGAGTCTATATAACCAGCCCTGTCCCATTTGGACTAAAAATGGAAGGATAGTAACGTCTTTATGGTATGGAACTAATATATTTCTTTCGGGTCATTGGTAATAAGGTACTTCTGCTAAGTATTCAAGGATGTGTTGTGAGGGGAATCATTACATTGATACTAGCTAGAGTTGATTGGACTACTTTGATCCTTTTCATCTACCACCTTCCTAGTTCGAAATCCATACTAATACTACCTCTACTCCAATTCATACTCGTATTAAACAAACCATGACTACTAGTCAAATGGTATCCATCGATATGATATAAATATGAATAAAGGCCGTCTCATCTATCATCATAACCTAACTGACCCACCCACCCAACCACACCCTTTATCCATCCCATATACACACCAAACTAAATGCATATATACACAACTCCCCCCCAACTCCCCCAACCTACTTCCCAGCCCTCTTCTTCCTCTCAATCCCCCTCCCCTCCCAAATAAACCACAAAACAACCCACCCAACCATCGCCTCCACCGCCAACCCCCACCAAACACCCCCGACAAAATTCCCCCTCAGGCCCTCTCCCAACCCCCAACCACCCAAAAACGGCCCTAACGTTCTCGCCGCGGACGAAATACTCTGCGAGACGCCATTAATCGTGCCGAGCACCTTTGCATCCGAAACACTATTATTCACTAAGATAACTGCAGCGGGTAGTGCAAACGTCCTCGACACGACCTGTAGTGCTATCACGACCGTGAATGCAGGCCAGACGATGTATGCTGCGCGGGGAAGAAGGAGGAGGAAGGGCATGAGGGCGTAGGCGAGGGAGGAGAAAGGTAGGAAGGTGCGGAAGGACCGTAAGGTGCCGAGGTAGCCTTGGACCCAGGGGTAGATGAAGATTTGTAAAGGGAGGCCGATGATCCCGATGATGGCGGTGGCGAGCCCGACGCGGGAGGAGGGCAGGCCGAGGCCGCCGGAGAAGTGGAACCAGCCGGTTCTGGTGGAGGGAGGGGCGCGCGGGGTGGGGAGGAAGGTGAAGGTGATGGCGTTGAAGGCGGAGGTGTGGAAGGCGAGGAGGAATTGGGCGAGGAGGGTGAGGAGGACGTTGCGGGTGTAGATTTGGCGGAAGGAGGGGCGGGATGAGGTTGTTGTTGTTGATGAGGGCTTAAGGCGGGAGGAGCGGCTGCTGATGCTGATGCTGCGGCGGTGGTGGTGGGAGGTGTTATCGATGTAGAGGGATTCGTCGTCTGGGTGTTCGCTTAGGCGTTGGTAGTATTTGCTGTCTTTGTGTTTGGTTCGGCAGAGGGCTCGTGAGATCCGGTGCCCGAGTTGACGGCCCCAGTCGCTGCGGTGGCGGGCTGTTTCGTGGGTCTGTAGCTTGATGATTAGATGATGGATTGATGAAGTGGACATTGGTTTGGGGATGGGCGTACCTCGTCTAGACCGAAGAAGACAGCCAGCAACGAGCAGAAGATGAACACTGCACTGAGCAGGTTTGGTAGCAAGAATGGCCATTTGCGCATCCACTCCACCCCATTCGCACCACCTAGGAACGTCCCTGGACCGAAGATCTGGGGATAGTTCTTGACAGGATCAGCTAGGGCACCGCCCAGCACTGGGCCGATGATGACGCCGATGTTGAAGCACATGGGCAGTAAGAGGAACGCTCGAGATTGATATCTGCATTTGTCAGTGATCGTATCCATCTTGGGAAAGAGACAGGGTATGGACGTACTTCTTCTCCTCAATAATCTCCGCAATCATCGTCCTCATCACACCCACATTGCTATTCAACACACCTCCCAGCGTGCGAAACACCGCAGCAGCCACAAACGACCGCGAGAACCCAAATCCCAAGCACGAGATACACGTCCCCAACGACCCGATCAGCAACACTCTCTTCCTCCCCATCCACTCCGCATCAGCTAGTCGTCCCCACCACACAGCCGTCAGGAACTGCGCCGCAGTGAAACTGCCCTGCAGGATGCCTGCCTGTCTGGAGATAGTCGAGTCCGGTAAGGACGGATCGAACGACTTGAGCTGGTAGAACATGTACGCTTGCAGGGAGGTCTGGGTGAGTGGCTCTGAGAGACGGGCGATGGTCAGGATAGCAAGTTGGCTCTTTTTCGGTAGTGAGGACCATGTTACGGGTTTTTCGTCGGTGTCGTTGTTGTTTTCTTCGTTGGGGTTGGGGGCGTCCTCGTTCGCGATCAGATTGGTATTTTCTTCGTCGTCACCGTCGCTGTCGCTGAAGCTGTCACTGTCGCTGTCACTGAAGCTGCTGTCATCGTCGTCGTCGCTACTGTTGTGATCATCTACTGATAAGCGCCGCGACTGGGAGGACTCGGGCATGGGCGCCGGCGCAAGTATACGAGTCTGCGCCGAGCTGCCGTCGTGGATGGCAGTGTTGACGCTGTCTTTGTCGCCGTCGATGGAGGAATCGACTGACATGGCGGGCGACAGAAATTGGGTGTCCGGATTCTTGCGGAGGCGTGAGGCGTCGGCCTCGGACGCGGAGATAGCAGTAGTAGTATCTACATGATTGTCGGTGTGGGAGTTGCGGATCTCGGGTGGTTGTGTGAAGGTCATATATAGCTATTGTCGTGAAGAAACAGTAGGAGAATCTGGGGAAGCCGTCAGGTACTTCAAAGTCAAAGTTCAACGGAGACGATAAAATCTACGGAAAAAGAAAAGGGTGGGAACAAATCTGGGGAGAAGAAGAAAGTGGATAAGAAGAAAGCCGAAGAGGCGATGAGCCAAAGATTCGCCCGAAGCTTGTCATCCCCGCTAAACCTGCCTCGGGTTTAGTCGCCGCGACTTTGCCGATGCCTGATTCTGTATAGACGAGGATGCGACATGCATATCGCTCCCCATTCTTGTCATCCTGCACTGTGTAACACCGCGTCCCTTACATGGCTAGACACCCCCTAC